GCCAAAGAACATTAACATGGCAGAATTCTTATTCTGCTTAAGGGAGCAACAATAGGGTTACCACTCTTAATATCGACTCCCCAGTCAAACTGAATCTATGCTTGCTAGTTACATAGCATATCAAGGTGGGCAATATACAACCCTCCAAATCATGCTGAACTACAGATCCCAGGATCCTCCACCAATGGCCATGTTGGCTGGACCTGCACTTCAGCAACATCTCAAGGAATGGAATGCAGGTCTTCCTAACCATCACAAAGTGAAGTACTTCAGAAGGAAACCATGCTTTATGACTACAAATCTTGTTCTGAGAGCCTGCAAATGTGAGTTAAAGGAAGATACTTTTATTCTTCATGGCTGGGTCCAGTATAAACTCTCTCACATTATCAGTACTGATCTTAAGCATCTTACATTTTCTTGGGTGAATATAGGCAAATTGTTGTTAGAATCTTCTAGAGCAATATTGATTGTTGCAGTTGATGACAAGGATGGAGATCCACGGTCTGAAGCCCTGATCAGAAGTCTGAAGGTTCTATCAGCCTTAAAGACAGAAAAGTTTAAAAACAGGATCTTTTTACCAAAATAAATTTGATATTATCATTATCCTTTTGGAAATTTGTAAAATTGGGGTGTGAATTTTGTCATTCCTCTCTAAAAATGCAGTCCAAAAAATAAAGATAGAGTGGAAAAATAAAAGTTCACGATTAACTAGACTATATGCGATGCCAGAGTTTAATACACACAGTCTCAGTTCCCTCAAACACCTAAGGATCATTCTGATTCATTTGTCAAAGTATCTATATCATGCATTCACTTTGAAATATATCCTGGACTTGCATTGATATTCTATAGCCACAAGCTAAACTCAGGTGGAGAACTATTTAATTAGGCAGTGATTTTGGTGATATACAGTATATATACACACACACATGCATACACATACATAATACACACACACACACACAAACACATACAATTTTGTAACATCTGTACAAATAATATGCATTTCTAGTCACTTATCCTGCAAGAAGATTTGTGAGTCAGACTTTGATGTTTACCTCTTATTTTATCTTCCAACTCACTAGTCATTTTGTGATGTTGTGTCAGGTAGGAGAAAATAGATCAAAATACAGTGGTACCTCGGGTTACGAATGCCTCTGTTAACAAACTTTTCGGGTTACGACCCCGCAAAAATTTACCTCGGTTTGCGAACTCCGCCTTGGGGTACGAACAGGATAGGCGGCCATTTTCCCTCCCGTGACACGGTCCACGGCCATTTTTCCGCCCCGACACGTGGTCCGCGGCCATTTTTCCGCCCCGACACGTGGTCCATGGCCGTTTTCCGCCCCTGACACGTGGTCCACGGCTATTTTCCGCCTGACACATGGTCCGCGGCCATTTTTCCGCCCCTGACACATGGTCTGCGGCCATTTTCCACACCTGACACGTGGTCCACGGCCATTTTTCTGCCCCTGACACGTGGTCCACGGCCATTTTTCCACCCCTGACACGTGGTTGTAGGGAGGGGGACTCTCCCTCCAAC